GTTCTTCCACTTTTTAGCTCTAAGACCTTAGGCAAGCTACTTAATGTTTCTATGCCTTAGTTTCTTCATTTGTAAAATGGGGACCGGATTGTACCTACCTTGTAGAATTGGCATGAAAATTAAGTGGGTTACTGTAAGTGGCCAGAACAGTGTTTGGCATATAGAAAGTGCTTCATGTTAGTAAACATTATTGTGACTATTATTACTGTTTCTATACCCTACAAGTATGTCATTAATGTACTCATTCAAGTCACTAATAAAAATGGAAAGCCGTGGTAATGGTCAAGTCCTGTCAGCACACCTAGCTCTAGACTGGCACTGATTCATTAACCAATAACAAAGCTGTATGATCCTATAATTACTAACCCTGTGTTCTCCATCTTGTCCTGGAGAGTACCTGTCATGTGCCAGGCACTGTGCTAGGCATGAGGATATGAATATAAATAAACATGGTCTTTGCTCTCAATAGCCAAACAGTGCTAAAAACAAGTGGTAGAATAGAGGGGTAATTCCTGGGACACACTATTCCCAAAAACCACAAAAGGTCATCAGCTTTAGTTCCACAGCCTCACTTTTAATTTCTCTGAATACCCTAAAATGGAAGGAAACCAGAGAACACATTGTGAACACATTAATAAAGCTGTCATTATTTATGAGAAACTTTGTCATTCATATCCTCAAGGTCTGCCATGGTTCTTGACTTTCAACTCCCTTTATTTCAAGAGGTATTTGTTTGTTTTCCCTAATTTGGTGGTATTTTCTTTGCAAGAAAAATTATGTGTTCAAAACTCATTCACATTCCAGTGTCTGCTCCACAGGAGTCTTTAAAATCCATTTGATCTTATTACTTGGCACTGGTGTAGTAATCTTGACATTATGGTAAATCTTGAAATGTGTTTGCAGAATCCATTCAGATACCTGTATATATCCCATTACTCAGTATCCCTGGGCCAGTTAGGGGGCCTGCAATTCTGGTAGCAGACCAACCCCTTTGCTTTACACATTCCCTCAGAGCCAGGGATTCTGTTTTCTTTTAAACACTGTTAACAGATTCTCTTTGATTTTTATTGGTCACAAAGGTTATATTTGCCTTCCCAGTGATCTCATTCTTGTCCAGTGGTGCCACAATAAATGGGACTAGGCATCAAAAAGGTGAAATTGCTCAACCCATAAGCATGTACTTGACCTACATAAAAATTTGCTAGGGTCCTGTTTTCTCTGTTTTACACCTTTCAGAAGGAATTGCTACCATTGTATTGCTTGTTTTTTTCAAATTATCAATCAAAATGGTCCCTTCTATTATTTCAGATAATCAAGAAATTGATTATATGAAGTAGCTTAATGTGGTCAGCTTCTTCAAAGACAGATATGTTGCTGAAAGGTTATCTTGGCAGCATCTGATAATCTCTGGGTCCTGAGCTGTTGGAGAAATCTTGGCATACCGGTGTCAGGAAAAGGACCAAATCTTGCTCTGTCATTAAATTTCCAAGTGTTTGGCCTTCAAAATTCCCTATTATTTTTGTCCCACAAAGACCTCATACTTTGCAAGCCTCTTTCTTCCAGTCTCCATTTATATGGGGAAGTTGTATTTCCTCATTTTTAATTAATGAAGCACATATTGCCCATCAGCTTTTTAGCTACACAAGAGAGCTAGTGTTATGCACCTAATATAATTCCATCAAAAAGCTAAGATAAAGACTTAGATAGATGGTAGAGCCTTATTATGAGTCACTACTAAAAATAATTCATAGATCTGTATTAGTACCTTCAGGGGGTCCTGGTCCATGAACCATTACATGAAATGTTCACATTCACAATCTTGCAAAACCTTTCTGGGTTGCAGATTTCATCTATTGCCTCACAAGTGAAACAAGTCCATTTTCCTGAGCATCGAGATGTTCCCCAGCCTGGCTTTTCTGCCTAGAAAATGCCATTTTCGTAAAGAGCTGTCATGCTTCGTGTTCTGTGGCTTATGATTTAGCTGTTCAGGGAAAGTGCAGGCCGCTCTTGCTCTCTGAGTGCTGGTGATATGTGTTTTTGTTTTATTAAATCTTTAAAATACTGGGCTTGTTGTTTATGATCCCCATATATCCTTTTGTTCTTCTCAGTGACTGGTTAGATCACTTTTTTTCCCTCTCTTTGTAAAAATATTAGTGCCTTTCTAAAGAACATCATGGTCTCCAGAATAGCTGCATAATAAAATGGAGGAATGTGTAGAGCTTAATGTTAGGTCTGTCAAGGCTATGACTCAGAGATGCTTCACCGATGGGAAGGTTTGAGGCTTCTCCGACATGGTCCACAGATTTACGTGTCTTCCTGCTCTTGCCAGCTTATTTTGACAAATCTGAGATGATTGAATACTAATCACAGAGATCTTTGTAAGTCCCCAGGTTACGAACATCCAACAGACAACTTGTACTTGCACTTTAACCTTATGTAAATTTCCCCTCACTTTGAAATGATTGAAACCAAACCCTAGTCACAACAAATTCTTCATTGCAACCACCTTCACTTGCGCACATGCAGCTTTTAAATCGCTGAAAATGTTTTGAGCCTTTTCTTGCACTAAGATAAGGCTAAATAAGATCTGCATGCACCTGTTCCAACTTACCTACAAATCCACTTAAAGATGAACTTAGGAACTGATCTTGTTAGTAACCCAGGGACTGCCTGTAAAGGTACCAAATAGCAATCATATGTTCCAGTTGCAGACAATTGTTTGTGATTAAAAGTTATTAAAAACCCTGGGTTAAAGGGAAATAAGTTCTTTTCCAGGTTTGAGTTTCTCCCTGTGTGCACAGAACACTGATGGCCACACACCCCTTACCACATGTAGCCTAATTCTAACCTCAGTGGGAGATGCTGAAGGAGAAAGCATCTGCAACCAGTCCCGAATCCAGGTAACTCTCACAGGGCCTGGTGCTACAGGACTTCTTCTTACACCCACCCGCTGTGCATCCGACAAGTTCAGTTGATAGTTTTCATGGTTCTGTCACTCCATGGAGGGGACTCCAGAAGTCTCAATTCATCTTGAATACAGCTGGAGATTGACTCCCCAAATAAACCATTAGATGACATCCAATTGAACTTGTTCCTGTGCATCCAGTATCTTGCAGCCCATCCTGTATTGTTAGTTTTGGCAAGTACACCACAGCATATAATAAATCATAGAAGGAAAAAGCTTTTTGGCCTGGCATGGTTCAGCTTGCTATAATGTTCGAATACAGAAAGCAGTTCTGTTTTTAGACATCCTTTTACTAACCCAACATTCATAATTTATTATTTCACTGTAAAATTCCTGCAACACTACACCAAAAGTAGTGCTGCCCTTTAATTAAGTGCTCTCAGTGGGAAAAACGTGAAACTGATGTGCAAAACATCTCTCTGTGCACAGTGATTGATAGTGATTACATCTTTATGAACCCAGCCTAAAGGTCTCAACTTCCTGATGGTTGAAGGAATCTATAGGGCCACTTCCTGAGCCTGCTTAGTGGGGATTGCTCACTGCTAACAAAATCAGAGGTTATTCAGAGGCACAATTTAGAATGTTGAGGTTTTAAGCCTGCATCTGTCTATACTTTGTCAGAAGTCTATATGCCATTATTCCTCATTTTCATGATAAGAACCTACAACCAAATTTCATGCTGTGTCCTCTCAGATATATGAACTATCCTAATTACATTTCAGTGATGTGTTATGAGCTCGGACTAATGAGAGGTGGTGAGGCAGAGGGTGAAGGTTGGGGAGAAGGTCTCTTTAAGGGATCCCCATGAGTCACATGGAATGTTTTTTAAGGACTGGAAAGAAGGGATGACAGGAGTGACTTCTGGCTCTATTGGTGCATAAGTTGAATATTAAAACCAGAAGATGACCTAAAAGTATTGCATTTTAAAAAAAAAAAAATATATTTTTCAAACCTTCTTTTTCTTTTTTCCCTACATTGAAAATAAAAACTAAAAACTGAACTCACTGCCATCAAGTAGATTCAACTCATAGAGACCCCTCCTTGGGTTTCCAAGATAGTATCTCTACAGAAGTAGATTGCCCACTCTTCCTTCTGAGGAGTGACTGGTGAGTTTGAACTGCCAGCCTTCTGGTTAGCAGTCAAATGCCTTAGGCACTATGCCACCGGAGCTCCCAAGTTGCACATAGGCAAGTTTATTTGTTAGGACAGTACCACTAAATGTTAGGAGTCTCTGGGAGGTATACACAGCTAACACGCTTGACTGCTGATCGTAAGGTTGGAAGTTCAGCTCCATCCAGAGGTTCCTCAGAAGGAAGGCCTGGCAGTCTCCTTACAAGAAATCAGCCACTGATATCCCTATGGAGCCCAGATCGGCTCTTGACATAATGGGGATTGCCATGAGTGGTAGTTGACTCAGTGACAACTGGTTTTGCTTTGTTTTTAATATTAGGACATAAATTCCCAAATCTAGTGCTTCCCAGCTTAGGTTATCTTAAGTTCATCACTGTATCTACTTTGGGTGTTTTTTTCCTTCATCAACTAAGTAATCACATTAGTCTAAGCTCATAACAAATCATTGAAAGGAAATTAGGATAGTTCATATCTCTGAAATACTGTAACTTCCTTGGAAAAAAAAGATCACAAATCCATCCAAGGTATTAATAAAAAACACACCCACAGCTATCAAGTTGAATCCAACTCATAATGATACTAATGGACAAAGTAGAATTTCCCCATAGGGTTCCCAAGGATGTAATCCCTATGAAAGCAGATTGTCACATCTTTCTCCTGTGGAGCAATTGGTAGGTTTGAATCATTGTGCCACCAGGACTCCTTAAGGTGTTAATGTTTGTATTAAATCAATTTTTTGGTATAAGTTCAGCTACTGTCAGTTGTAATTATAGCAACTAAAACAAAAACTTTTTGCAATGCAGATGTTTAATTATGTGGAAGAATACTTATGAATGCCTCAAAAATGACTTTTTTCTGGAGCTGTATTATACATGTGTGAATGTTATTTTCTTGTGTTTTGCAGATTTGGGCCTGGTTTAGTCATCTATTGGTATGGATTTATCCAGGAGCTGGACTGTAACCGAGAGAGGGGCATCCTGCTGAAAGCCTGTTTCCCCACAGACATTGTCACCTTATGCCATAGCATAGCTTGACCTTGAAGATCCTGGAAGAGAAGTTGGGAGGAAAGGTGAATCCAGAAGAAATTTTACTTTCCTGCAGTATAAACTCCTGGCAACATCTGCCCTGAACTTCAGCTGAACTCTTGCTGCCCGTGGTCACACCACTACCTCGTTAGACAAACATATCAGGAGTTTCTGTCTTCCTTCATCCCTTGCTGATGTGACCAGCCAAGAACTACAGACACAACCCACTCATTATCAGCATTTCTGTCTCTGTCAAACAGTTAGTTTATAGATAGTCATAATCTTTCTTCCTTCCGGATGGTTTCTCCTTGTATACTGAACAAAAGAAAAAATGTGGAGACTGAAAGGTGTGATTTTTCAATTCTCCTCCCAGTTACCGAATCACCCTCTTATTTTTTTTCTAAGACTCCATTCATTATCTCTCCCTCCCCCTTTCTCTCCAGACTCCCAAATACCCAGTGTTGCATTACAGTCTAATGGAAGAATCTAGCACAAACCTAGAAAAATTGAAGTCTGAAACTAAATTTTCACTCTCACCTGAAGGGCTTCAGTAGACCTAGATGGTAGCGTGAGCTGAGTGCTCATTTTGCCCACTCTTTATGTTTTTCTGGTTTCTATGGCATGAAGCCAAGCTGCAAGAATATTTTTTATGAGAATTTCTTCTTTTTATGATGCTCCAAACATTTGACGTTTATCAAATTTAAGACCATCAGCTACAGCATGCCTGGGAGCTACACTGCTTCTTTGGATTGGGGGCTAAGGCAAAGACTAGTGAAGCCTGGTGCCAGCATTGACAAGTTTATTTTTTAAATGTGGCTAGTTGTCAGTATGTGTTAGCCAGTATTTTTCTGAGTAAAATTTTTTAAAAGCACATTTCTATATTCTGCTTTGTAGCTGCTTTTTATACCATGTAATTATATAACATAACATAGGTATTAGAATTGTTGAGCTTCCAATGAATTACATGTAACAGAAATAAACCTAACAATTTTTAAATAAGCCAAGTAGAGGAGATTTTGTATTTGTTCACTTTAATTTATTCATTTTTTTTATACTGTGGACCAAATTGTCTAAAGCAGAGCATCAATAAATTAATGACAACTAATGAGTAGATTATTTTCCCCTCTGCTGACAAAACAATAATTTTTATAATGCTGAAAATGTGATTTTAGAAATAATAATAAAAATGCAACTTTTGAAAACAACTTTAAGTTGCATACATTGCTTGATTCTTTCAAAAAGACTATGTCATCTGTACTGTGTGTCTAAGGTTTGTGAAGGTCAGCCCCACTGCCTTTCCTTTCAAGCAACACAAACAGCATGCCAGGTCTGGATGTTGGGATTTAACTTTGTTGTGGTCTGCATTAAACTAAAGGGACAGGAAGAAGATGAAAGGTAAGGAGATGTCAGGCCAGCATTTGTTTCAGTGTAACATTCATCAGACTAGTTTTGAGAGTGAAATAGTGATTTGAGACCACTATAGCATAGTTAGTGCCCAAGGCACTTGACTGCTAACCAGAAGACTGGTAATTCAAACCCACCAGCCACTCTTCAGAAGGGAAGTTGGGCAATCTACTTTCCTAGCGTTACCGCCTCGGAAACCCAAGGAGGAGTCGCTGTGTCAGGTCCAACTCAATGGCACATAACAACAGCAACAACACTATTGCCTCGATCTGAATTATTCCCACATATAGACATTAAAACAATTTGTTTTAATAACAGTTTTGTTTTAATTTTTTTTTTTTTAAATCAAAACTGTTGTCAAAAGCAGTTTTCATGGCAGCACTAAACTGCTTTTTCTTCTTTAGGAATAAATTACATTTATCTGCATAGATGTGGAAAATCCTATTAAACCCTAGTCAAGGATTTGTTTGTTTTACATTTAAAAAAATTATGATGAGGGTGCACAAATAAATTTTAAAAAAATAATAATAATAAGCACTTGCATTTTGTATTTCTTCTACCCAATGCCCTGACATAATGTGTTGTTAGAAGGTAGTGGCGTTTTCCTGCAAAGGTACCACCTTCCATTTATGAATGAGGCTTTAAGATTGGTCTTTTACCCTGGAAAAGAAACCAGCAAACTAATAAATATTGCAAAGAAGTTATCACTTATTCAAAATTAAGCTGTTTTCCACACAAAAACAAATGTAATTATTATATCTAGTACTTTTGAATTAGAGGGTATGCAGGAAGAGAGTAATGTCCCCAAACTGGAAGCTTGGAGAATCCTAGTTCTTTTTCTTATATAGTAAAAAGGTTTATCTGTGTGCATGTTGTTTCTTTGGTTTTTGGTTTGGTTTGGTTTAGAAAATAGAAACATCAGCCCTAGAAAGCAGACATAGGATGACAAGTTTTTGTTTTGTTTTGTTTTGTTTTAATTGCTGTTGTCAATTAGAACATTAATATTAAAGCCAAATCTTTTTTTATGGGGCATCCTGCAAACTATGATATTGAATTATGTCAAGCCAGAAAGCAGGAGTGTGGATATAGCACAAAACTAAAGGTTGTTCTCTCTGGCATAGACACCTGCTCTTCACTTACCAACGGTCTCTTTATCCAACAGTTCCCATTTAGGACAATAGTAACACATCTACCTTAAAGCCAGGTAAGGACCCACATGTTTTGAGTGAGAGAGTGCCTCCCTTCTGAACCCCAAGTCCTTAATTCCTCCTATCCATCCAGTCTTCCTAGTCTTGGATGCAAATAAAGTTAAAAGAGGGAGAAAAAACAAGTCCAACAGGGCCTCGGGCCATTAACATTCACACGTGCATTCACACGTGCTACACAGCCTCTCAGAATCCCTGCTGGGCCTGCGGGCTGGTGGTGGCTATCCTGCTGTCCAAGGGAGCTGAAGCTTCAGGCTATGAGTCTGCAAGAAGGTGGCAGAGGGGCACAGACAGGACATGTGCCCATCACTTCACCACAGACCTTGAGATCTGCTGTTTGCACGCTTGGTGGCACTGGGGCCAATAGGTGACTGTCCAGAATAGGTAGGCATTTCCGTGGAGAGCAAGAACTGCCTGGGTCCAGCTAGTGCAAGTCCCCTCCTGGCTGCAAATCCTGACCCAGTCAGTACTGCCTATGGTTTCAAATGGTACAAGCCAATCCACCCATCAGAAGTACGGCAGTCACTTCAGCCACAATAACACAGAGACAAGTGAGCTGTGGATAGTGGCTGTAGGGGAGGGAGCAGCTCCATGGGGCCACCTCCAAAATGACTCCTGAAGCCTAAGAAGCATTAAGTCACTGAAATTAAACATCGTGCCGATTTTCGTATGAAGACCTAGTTATCAACCTAACCCTGTTGATAACTGAGGAATGGGTGTATAGACTTACCAAACATCTGCTCTCACACACCAACAAAAGACACATTTAGATCATGTAGAGGGATCAGGTCAGAACAAAACTGATCCAGCACAGGTGATGTTTAAATTGACCTCATAGACCCCCTCTCACTCTTCCACTCCCACCCCATTTCCCAAGAAACAAAAACAACAAAGATCCTTTTTTTGTTCATTTGTCCTAGTGAGGGGTCTGTCAAGTCTTCTCAATACTTATACAATCACATATAAAAGGGAAGGCCCAAGTAGAAAGCCGAAACCTCCAGGGGAAATAATTTTCTTTTAACCATAGGTGTGTGTACCTGCTCATTATCTACAAGGCTTGATTCCACTCTGGAAACTAAGATAAATTGTTGGTCTTTGGGGGGGTGCATTAACTCATTCAAGCCGCCAAGGGATTGTTTAGAACCCTGGATGAGGTAATCTACTAAATGGTCCCGGGTGGGCCACACTAATTAATGCACAGCCTGAAGTGAACAGTTAATTCATTCGCCTCTCACTGGGGAGCTACACCCATCGTTTCCTTTCCTCTTTAGTAGGAGATACCTTAGCCGTCTGCTCTTTTTAACCTGCCTCTTTTTAACCATCTATGGACCTGCTGTTTCAATTGAATAACATCTTTACTCATTTGACATGATGTTTCCCTTCTTAGGTTTTCACCTCTTCCTTTCACTAGCCTTTGCTAGTTTCCTTCCACAGGGGCATGTATTACTCATTTTTCTCACTCCTTTTTGGCTCTTTTCCTCTCTAGAAAATGATCCAACCAAAATGCTTCATATCTAGATCCTGATCCACTTCAGGGGAGGTGAGGGGAGCGCATTTGGCCTAATTTCTTTGGGGAAAAGCATACCCCCAAGCATTCTCAACTTGCCAAAGAATTCAAGTGCATGTGTGGCACCTGATGGATCATAACAGTTTTAACAAAAGAATAACATTTTACAGGGTCACAAATATGGTATGAGGTTTATGCCTTCAGTAAATGTTTTGGCAAAAGGCTACTACTACCCGCTCCCATAGAATCAATTCTGACTCATAGCACCTCCATAGGACAGGGTAGAACTACCCCCAAAGGGTTTCTAAAACTATTAATCCTTATGGAAGCAGCCTGCCCCATCTTTCACACCCACAGCAGCTGGTGGCTACGAACTATAGACCTTCCAGCTAGCAGCTGAGCTCATAACCACTATGCCACCAGAACTCCTCTTGGAAAGTGATTTGGCAAATTAGCCCTCCAGAAAAAAATGTAAAGGCTCATAGTAACTTGCTGCCTGTGTGTTGTTGCTCAGCTGATTAAAATTATGAATCAAAACAGTACAATGTCTGCAGGATTTAATTAGACAATCCCTTGCTGCTCATTCATCTTGGGGGCAGCTTGCCATGTTCCATGTAATCGAATGGGAACAAGTTACTTCAAAGTGTAACTATTTTGTTATAAGAGTAGGTGGAAAAAAGTCTCCCAATTGACATATTCTTGATTAGGTGAAGGAAAAAAGCAGGCTTAACTAGAGAAGGAACTATAAGGCAAATAATGAGAGTTGGCTAGCAATTTCACCATTTACAGAAAAGCATCTATCAGACCCCATCTGTATAAACTCACACAGGTTAAGGAAGGGTCACATGTAATACAAAGTTTGGATCACCTAAATGTGTTACTCAAAACTATAT